TCGGGTCCCATCGGTCGATAATGAGTGCAGATGCCGAAGTTGACTGAAAATGGGGAACGGTCAACAGAATCGTCCGGTCGTCGCGCCGCCGCGTGCGTCCACTTGCGCGGCAATTTTCGAGAAGCGCGGGACTTTTGAGTTTGACGGTTGAAGCAGCATATTGAAGTTGGATCTTAAAGGGACGGGCCTGCTTGGCGTCCTTGTAACATTCAAGTTCAGATGACGATCACAGAAACGTCGTCCACTGCACTTGCGACGTCGCGGCCACGACCGGTAGCGCGGGGATCCGGACGATTCTGTTGACATACACCCGTAGAGTAGATATTTCAAGGAATGGAGAATGCCAGCATAGCACCTTCACTCACGACAGCTGCCATGTTCGGCTCTCTGTAAACCTCGGCATATGACGACAGGTTAATAAGACTTTTGACTGCTCACGAGGTTGTAATTTCTAAACCTTTATTGGCCGACATTTCGGTGACATCGCCTTCTTCGGAACCTACTGAACTTCGACGTCACTAGCCCAAGACAGCTTTGCCTTCCGTCGTCAGTCGACTCAATTGAAAGAACCATTACATTTCCCATTAATTTCGCTCGCGCAACCTCTTCTGGCAGACGAATGCAATTCCGTGGAGTTCCGTGCATCGAGCGTATTTTCTTTCCTGTTGCCAGCAAGCTTCCCCTTATCGCGAATAATGCGCGGTATCCTTGAGGGTTGTAAATGTACGGTTTTATGGTCCCTGCACCCTGACCCCTCCCATCATCTCCCAACTTTACCGCGGCGAAGTTCTGGCAGTGTCAAGCAGCGCCGCTATCGCGCACGGAGATCAGATCATGCAAGCTAATCGAGTCACTATGGTTTCATGTGTGGTGTACCGGCTAATTTGATGCAAATCCCGTCCGGGAGAATATTAAGCGCTGAACTTTACATCGCTTGGCCATGCAAGTTCTGCTGTTGGCCAATGTTTTTACAACCTACTAGAAATCTCAATGGACGGCGCCTACTGGAGCATTCCCATCATGACCCAAAACAAGTTGGAAACCTAACACTAAAATTTTTAGTTCTCCACTCTTTTAGGAGTGATGTAGATAGAATTTCTTTCTATAACAATGATATATTCACAAATAAATCTGAATATCGAGACATAATTCTAGAACAATTTTGAAGGCAAGAACAAAAACAAAGCGATGACGACAAGGTAAAGTGTAGTATTTAAGGCGAACCAAAATACCCCATAATAGTAGAATAGGGCAATAGAGTCGAGGATAAAACTGTACAAACAATTACTTTAAAATTGCAGTAAAACTAGAAAAAAGAGGTAACTGAGCTTATACCTGATTCAGTTTATGTACAAAATATTGTGCAATGTGTACAGAGATTACTAATCTGAAAATATTTTGGTTAGGGAGATGATGAAATTGAGCGGTAACGAGCAACAATTCGGAGATAATCCTCCGCTATACATACTATGGCGAATCGTGTAGATGATGGTGAATGAAATGAAACCAGATCAAAGGACCGGCTACGCTCATTAGACGGCGTGCTCTAGACGGCCGATGGAACGAGTATATAAGTCGCCCAGGCACAAAGGCATGTCTACCAAGTGCTAACAGATACTATCTATATGTACATGCGAATAGTTGACAGACTACTTAAGAGCATTCCGGCTTAGATGGCGGGCAGTTGCGTAGAATTTGTCTCATGACCACCGTCCGAGGACTCGTCGTCCGAACCAACCAAGGCAAATTTAGTTGTTGGCAGTCTCGCTTGCACACCACACCACCCATCTGGTCTATAAAAATAGCGACGAAGTTGATAAATAAGTGATGATAGACCAAAAGGTCAGTGAATATTTATAAAACAAGATTTTCGACAACCAAAAATGTATTTCTCATCTAGGGAATACCCAGCAAGATGGCTGTTGACCAAAAGAATGATCACGAGAACTCATTCCAACTCGTTCCACCGATTCTATCAAACAATAGGGCAGCGCGTTATTCAAAACACCCTTCTTCCATCAAACTAGAACCTTGAGACCTTGTTAGAGCGATAGTATGTTATCGGTAGTACACAAATTTTGTAAGCATCAGTCAGCTGCTCAGGAATTAGTGGGGTGAAAATTTGTTTCCCTCTTTTTTTAAAATTGATTCCTGCAGTTGTGCAGCTGTTCCAATGTTCAAAGAAAACATTAGTAAACATGAAAACTAACCTGAAGCAAGCAAAATCGGGACTGGTGAAACAACCCCTTTTGCATGAGCTGACCCTTCTTGACCAAGTTGCTGGCACAACAACACGCATCTCGCATAAATCTAAAACATCAGAGTTCAAAAATCTTTCAGTGATTTTAAATGCGCATTCTAAACGACAAACATAAGGGTTGTGAGGCTTAATTGTGGAATTGCAACTGCCATAGGCTCCACTGACTGAAAAAGTGAAAGAAGAGTATTTTTGCAGTTGCCTTTAATCATTCTCTACCCTCACCCGGATAGGAAATAAAGCCGGTTCGGGAGGACAACAAAAGGAAATACGGCTTATAGCAACCTGTGCGACCAATCAATATACACGCAAATATTATTTCATTCTCAAAAATCAAAGCTCCGGATAGTATACCGCTCATTGTGTATGAGGCGTCTCTTAGTGCTATTCGGGTGCGCGCTTCACAATCTCTAGAAAGCAGCATAAATTTTTGATAGAGTTAGTTATCAGTGATAATTGTTACTTCAAGACATTATAATGTATAGAGCCGATGGTCAAATATGCTTGAGAAAATATGAAATATATGAAGATTGCGGTCTCTTGGAATGCCTCAGTATAGCTTTCTTCCCAAACATTTAATTTTCTCCACCGATTACAAAGCGTAGTGTGAATAAGTTAGCGCGAAAATTCATTGGGTAACAATTTGCTCTCTTCGGAATGGTTCGCAACCAAAGATGCTGCCAGGCAACGCTACGCTTCTTACATCTTAGGTCTCTGTCTGTGTAGAACGTAGAATCTGGTGTCTGTGATTCAGACGTAAAAATGGCGTAATTACACTGGTCGGCAGTCTCAGTGTGCGTCAAGTGCAATTACACATCCTGGAGTGTGAAAGGCAGTGTAGTTACACAAAATATTTTGGAAGAGAGTTTTTAACTCGCGGATTTGGTCCCCTGTCAGTTTAGTGCGTATGCGATCTAAAATTTTCTTTGCCCGCTTTATCTGAACGCAGTATAATTTCACTGTGGCCCGCATCCATATTAAGGCTCCCTTCTAAACTTTGAGGGAAAGGCTTCAGCTGCTCTATGTGAATGCATCGTTGGCCCACATAAAATGGTCGCGAGGTTGGAACCAAGAGATAGAAGAGCCATTCGTTTGAGGATGTGAATTGGGAAGAGTGGCGTGACAGAACAAGTTTTGCTCCTATGACAGATTACGTCCTATTGAAGACAACACCATTCCTTCTCAAAACGACTTTAACAAATGGTACACTGGACATCCAACGACTAGGTCTCGGTATCGAGTTTTATTCCCCTTTTAACGACAATGGTGGTGGGCGACCGGTATGGGATTCTTACCTAGACCATGGTAGGAATTCGTTGCTGCTTCCTTTCTCTTTCGTTAGCTTTTTAGCACCTTTTCCGAGGATAATCGAATCTTGGAGATTGTAGCTTCGCTCTAGACTGGGAATTTCGTCGTCGATAAAAGGGTTCCCACGTAATCGCTCAATACCCCTTCCTTTATCAGCCGAATTCTCACATTGCCCTTGAAGCAGCGACTATGACAATGTGATGACGATAAAATATGGCAGACGTGTAGCAGCTAAAAATTGAACCTGAACAGACCGTGAAAAATCGAAGAACAGGGACCCTCACACTGATTGTTGACCTCGGACGAATTAAGGCTTAGGTGCTGACTTTTTGGGTAAGTGTGCCTTACTAGAATGCAAGAAATTCCATGGATTACAGGATTCGTATGCTTGGTACAAAATGCAATTTCAAAATGGTGATGATCTTGCTGACGGACGACAACCACAACAAAAAATTCAACAACTTCAATGCCACGCTTGGAGACGGTCTCGGAAAAGGCGAGTCGACCTTAGATTCGGGAAAATGCGTTGCAACTTGCGCACGTTTTACTGCGAAGGCGAACTACCTGGCTCCTTGCGCCTAGCTACCACTCCTATTGGTGCATAAGCCCTCCTAGAAGGAACATCATCAAATCGCAGCACAAGCATTGAATGTGTCATCATTTATTATTACAGAAGATCAATCAAAGAAACGGTTCAGTCGAAGCTAAACACCTTGAACTTAAAATGCGTCAAGGATGCACCAAAACGGGGTAAGGATTGCGACAATGACGGATTGCGAGAAGCGCCTCTCAGGAAAGTTAGACTCCGAATTCCTCCACGTCGACAATTGGGAACCTCATGGCCGTATTCAATATATCGAAATGTGTCAGAACGCAGATTTGAGCTAATATTGTGTAAGTGTAAGAATTGAATGATGCCAATTCTATCCCTCAGATCGCCAAGAATTTGGCCGTAAAAAACATTGCGTTACAATTTGCTCTAACCATTGAAACTGCTAACGCTCAATTTTCCCAGTAAATTAGCAAACAAAAACTAAACGAATAACCCTATTCAAAACAAGAATATTTGTAGAAAAAGACGTACTTGGTGCGCTGCTCAGATATTCGAGTAGATCCCTTTTGTAAAGAACATGAGACTCGTCCACTTCAAAAATTTGCAACGACAAAAATCGGTCATTCTCATGAGCGAAGACTGGAGCAATCAAGCCGATGTCGTAGCACACAAACAACTCACGGCAACACTAGAATTTAGTGCAATAGGCTTTAAAATACAAATAAATCTATTATACTGTCAATGGTGAGGCTATGACCTGGTGATACTATGTGAGCGACTAACCTTGAACTCAGGATACATATAGAGAGAACGGCGTTTATTGAGCGACATTATCATCATGTATGGAGATATTTTTCTCCTGTCGAGCAGTGTGAGCCGGTTGATTGTCACACCAAGATCGAGAAGAACACGAACGTAGCTTATAAACACCTAAGGCGAGCATATCTTTTACAAGGAGTTTCGAATAAGAAATAAACGAAAACGGGACTGCTACAACCAAAGCGCAATGTAACTGAAGAATGCGCAATTCTATGAATTTAGTTTTGTATTTTCGAAGAAATGTTCCCTCTTTTTTGTCTTTCTTGTTGATGGTAACGTTACAAGATGGCCGTGCAATGATGAAGAAATGCCTTCATGGCGAACACTGACACGGCTGTCATTGTTCGCTATGAAGGCATTTCCTCACCCTTGCATCCTTCGACATCTTTAAAGTCCTAAAAATCACAAAAAGTTTCTTCCAAACAAATAATTTACTACTCCAAGCATTTTTATCTGTATCCTTTTCGTAACTTCAGAACATGGGGAAATATAATATGCACCAAAGCACATGGACTACTCTACAAATTAGACACAGTATATGCTCGCGTTCTGTGACCTTTGATGACAACCGTTCTAGCAAAGCCCTTCTCCAAATGAACTGAAAAGCAGAGCATAACACACACATGAAGTATTGTTCCATGAAGCTGCATCCTATGAATGTCGTTTTCAGTCTAGGATTGGGGAGGATGGGAGCCGCCAAGCCTTCTCCTAGAGGATCTAGGTAGGGAAATGGGGAAGGAAGGCTACGTGAGTTCTAAAAATGAAGACGTTATTTCCTCAATCCTTTACAATAGAATGGTGTTACTGGAAAGCAACTGTTACTAGACAATATTTCAAGTGTTATAGTGCGTTCTTTCTCGATTTGATCTGTAAGAAGAAGCAAGTCCAAAACGATATCATCCGCTTTCGAAGATTAAGAACCTTATCAACAATAGAATTCTAAAACGAGTGAAGTCACGCGTCCTGCCCCATTCTCACCTGCTAAGAGTATAACCATTATACTCATTACTGCTTCGAACTTTACTGGCCCTATGACCAGTCTTGCTCACAATAAAGATGGTTAACCGATGCCTCATTATTTCCACACCTTCATTTCCGGTTTCTCGAGGAACTGTTCAAATTCCATTAGAATTTGAATTGATACCCAATGTGTAAACCATAAAGCCTGCAGTGATGGTTACAAAAGTGAGAATCAAAAGAACCTGTCAGGAAAGTTATTAGCGACCAAAGTGGTCCGAAGTTCGATTCACCGTGGTGACAAAATTTTGCATTCTATGTTGACGTTTCCAGTGGTGCCAAATGGCGCCTGCGCCAACACAATGTCATCTTTCATAACCAGAAGAATCAGAATTCCTGGCAAGTCGGCTTTTATCAAACATCATTACACCAACGCTGCATTAACAGCCAACTTTGATCGGTCACAAATTCCTCGGCGAGTTCGCATAGCAGTTTGCTTCCCTCTTTTCAACCAGCATTGTAGGCCCTATCGTTTACCTAGATCTCAATTCAAAGCTCCATGCGTGGAATACTTTCTTGGTAAGACACTGATTAAAAGCAATGTGCTAAATATACCTTGTTACGACATCTATTCATGTCAGACGGCCCATAGTAACCCTGTCCATTGCTGGTACAATCTTCTAGTGTCAAATTCCAAATTGCTAAAATGAGATTGTTAGGATTCAAAAGAAAAAAGATATCGCATGATCCACCTACTATGAGAGTCTGCCATTTCCAAGAAATATCGAACTAGTGACCGAAAGCCGCAACAGGTTACGATCTCCACGTCCGAAAGTTTTATATCGAGATTGACCTCCGCTAGGTAACTGCAAAGAGGCCTGAAACGAAACAGCGTCAACAAAGAATCCTAAACTAAAAGCATTGCCATCGATTCGTGTTTTGTTGTCACGTCTGATCGTGTGTTTTTCGCGAAAAAGTGGGTCATTTCCAACCCTACTGTGGGCCAACGCTAAATATACAAAAAAAAAACCTGGGAAGAGGCACAAGCGTTCACAAAACCTTTTCTTGAGCGCAGGGATTACTAGCAACTGAAGCGCAACGGTAAACTCACGTAAACGGAAAAAACAGGATTGAACACTGTAAAAGAGATTTTTTGAGAACTCACCTAATCTTTAAGTTGTCATAGTTGTGTGATATAAGCAGCTTTCCCCACTCCTCTCCAATATGTACCGTAATTCTGGTCAACCGTGGCATTGCCAATGCCACGGGATCGGCTGTATTGGTGCTTTCCAAAATCGAGTGAACTGTAAACAGTTCAATTTAAGGTGTGATTCACCACAAGCGCTGCCCCCCTATGGGCCAAACGTACTTTCCGTAAACATAGCGATGGGAACTGTCAATTCTTGCAAATAACAGAAACATTTCTTCATCAGCAGATGGAGGAGATTCCTGTGTGCTGGCCATAGTTGATTCGCTAGAATAAAATTAATCAGATGATAATTTTGCTTATCTGACACAAAATCTGTACGAGTCTAGCAGCAAGGAGCGATGGAAAATAGAAGCTCAGTCATTGGAAACTATTTCGGAAGACATCATAATTCGAGGAAACATGAGGAAGATCCAACGCGGGCTAGCCTATAGAAAGAAAAAGGGAAACGTCTTTTCAAAAATTGACCATGCCCTCTCCACTAACAAGCAGGTGAACCCATCTCCCTTCAATTTCTAATCCATTTGGGACGAAAGGACGGAGTTTCAGTTATGTTATATACCCATTTACTCAACGAGATAAGCTGTTAAATAACATAACCTCATACGTGGCAAAATACTACTCAAGGAGTTACAAGTCAGAAGAGGAAAAACGTGTCATAATATGACACTCGAATCAGATTAATCAAAATCTAACACTCACGCCCATGGAAGGAACGACAAAGCAAGGAAGAATCTAGAAGAAACGCGAAATGAAAAGCAAAAAAAACGATTGTGGTACCTCGAAGCAACTCCGAACGAAGATACTGCCAAATGAAGTCCTCGCATACATTCAAAGTGGTGCACTTTTTAATGTGTTCATTGACAATGTGATCAAAGCCACTACTGATCCCAAACCATCGTAATGTAATTATCTGGAATAGATGTATTCTGATAACTGGCAATTGAATCTGTAATTTAAATTGCTTTAAAACGGCAATGTTCAGTGAAAACAACGTGGCAGAAAATTTAAGTGTTACATCCCTCCTTTCTACTTTCCACTCCCTTCCATCCCCGCTCACCCCTCTATGTCTTTTGTAAACATAGTGTTTGTTATCAGTCGATCGAGGGGAAGGGAAGTGCAAGTAAATACATAGAACGAGTTTACAAAGATGACAAATCTACACTATCGTACATGCCCTTCAATAAAAACAGCTACCAATTCTAGGTTCGTACTACATTGGCCACCGTTTCTGAAGCGCGTCCCAAATATCAGATCCTTTCTGGGAACTCTTCTTCTACAATCGTCTCATTAAAAGATACATATCTGAGAGAAAGCATCAGAAGAGCGAGAGCCAATGTAGGCATCTTCGTTAACATCGCCAACAACGAAGTTCTGAGACTGCGCAAAACAATATAACAATAGAGGATATTAACTAAAACACATAACTGGGGTAATTTTAACACGTTGACGACAACGCGAGTTTTGGCACTTTTTGGCCACGTGGGACCACGGCGTTTTTGCGAGGCGCCGCCGCCTCAGGTCGTTCAAGCAAATTTTGAGTGATAAAAACATAAATAATGATCAATACAAGGCCAGATCAATATATTGTAATGAGCACAACCTACTCGGAGGTACAGTAGCGGAATTTCTATTGAAAGACATGGAATAACAATGAAAAAGTGATATTCTTTAGAACAAGCTGCAATGAACTTCAAAGGCAATTTTAAGTTGATTATTTTAATCAAAACACATATATTGTCATCTCTAAGGTACCGTATCTACTTCTACTACTATTTAAACCTTCACATTCATAGGAAGAAAAAGTAAACGAAAAATTTATTAGGCTGAAGATTTCGTATGGTTCAGAAATCCTCCTCCAAATTGAAGCATACGTGACCATTCTATGGACCACTATGTTTTTAGCTAGGTCAAGGTCTCCTCCATTCAATAATTACAAGAAACTTCTAGAAGAACCAGGCGTGCGCGAAAAAAATTAGTGTAATGGGTGCACGGGTCCGACACGGCCTGCAATGCGCGGGATATATATCCCCCGCGTTGTCGTCAATGTGTTACCCATCGAACGAAAAAGACGCAGCACCCAACTTGTAAAAGCATGGGGACTAATAGAGTACATATTAGGAACACATTTAACCTCCCGAGAAGAGTCAGTGACTATCGTTTTGGTACATGTGCCTTTCACGTGACTGCCCCATTGTTCCTTCGCAGTGTAGGTGAAGCGAACATATTTTAATTAGGTACAATACCGGTGGGCAACCTACTACGAACAAAATTTGCAGCAAGCACAATGCTAGAAAGAATAATGTTTGTATTTCAATCCGTTTAACACTTTATCACAAAAACAAGACCAATTTAACTACGGAAGCATTACTTTCTTGACATGGTGCGCCGCATGCAAAGAATTGGAAAACAGGGCACAATCACTTCTGATAAGGGAAAAACCGACTCATTCATTAGAATTCAGGCTCCAATTTTTGCAAAGTTTTTAAATTATCGTTGAATGAAGTGAACCTGATAATAATCTCGTAGCAAAGAGTAACAGCCACAGTTTTGACAAAAATAGTTTACGTAGAGCATGTTCTTAAGCAAACAACTGCATATCCATTACCGCATTTACGCTATTACCTAATTTCAAAAACAGAAAAAAACTATCGCTAGAATCACCCCGATAGAATATTCTACAATGCATACGTAGGCACTTTTACGACGAATTCTTAATCCATTTCGGTACTTCGAAAATTGAACTGATCAATGATTTCACCCCTACCTTAATTGGCCTTCATACAACGATATTCATACGTATGGTCGAAGACCGACACACCGTCACGTCATGTGATCGTACTTTTCTCTGGTGCGCCATGAAAATCAATTTCGGTAGAAAAAGCTCTCACGAAGGACGCACTTGAACCTGTTGTCTCACCGTGAACCTGTTCGCTGCTCATGAGCGAACTTTGCACTCCACCGCAAGAAAGATGCGTAAATATGCATGGGCTCACATTGTAATAATGTATTTATATACTAAAGCATCATTATAAACACTTGCATACCTCAGTAGGAGAAATGGTTGAAATGATCTGAGCGATGATTTCGTCTGGAAGATCAGGGAGATGCTCGCCTCCGCAACTTTGTCGCCGACATCGCCAAATTGGAAGGTGACGGGTCATTCACGACACTGCTGAATCGAACGAACACTATGGCTGCATGAATGGTGCGCGAATCGAATCAGTTGCACCGTAGACAAATAGAGATGACTTATTGATAACAGTATCAATTGGCGTGAAACAAGGAACAGAGAACTCTAAGAAGCTCTAGCATTTTCAAGAGAGCTACTAAGAGATCTTACTTCTCATATAAATATCGATTTGCATCTTGATTTTACATTGAAATCGCGTTACAGACACATGACTAACCAAAAGAAAGCTTTTGAGACGCAAAATCATCACTGAAAGCTTGTACGAGATCATTCTTCTGGACAAACTGCATCAGAATTGAAAAAGAACGAGGAATTGGGATAAATTGCCCTTGAAAATTCTCTCCATTAAAGTTATCGTGCAGTGTATTGCGGTGCAAAATGGACTCCCAAAAGTATGAACAGCCAAGGTGTGAGTGTGACCGCGCCCCAAAGGTGAAGAAAGTGGGAAACTTGTATTAGCAGAATTTAGCTTTAGGAAGACTCTAAGCCGCCTTCCTTCACCCCCTCCCACGATGAACTACAAAAGCAGCACACGGCAGTGCTTGAAGGCCAAGAAAAGATAGGTCAGTTATACCAGGTGTCAAGCCGTGAGCATTGAGTCGCTGAAAACTGAAAGATTAAGGTAATTTGACAACAATATGCGGCAATAGTCCAGAGACTTACTGACAGCTCTCGAAAGCTACTTGATACTGTATCAAGCCCTCTTGGCAGCTGAAATAGCTTTTTAAAAAAGATTTTGAATCTACTCCAATAAGAGGCGGAACTTTAGTGCAGAGCAGCCAATACTGTGAAGACGCCGACGAAGATCACCGTTTAAGAGAGGTTTGGATGGAGTAACACATATGGTTGGTTGGAGTAACACATATGGTTGGTACAACCAAAGCTTTACCTAACCCGAACCTTGGTCCTCTTGCTAGAATTGAGATTAAGTCGGCGCAAAAAAGTTTCCTCTGGAATAATGTTCGAAATCTTTTTCAGAAGCGATCAGATCGCTGAGTAATTGGGCAGCGGGACAAAATTGTTGCCGATCATGCGAACAGCACGAAACGATAAGACAAATGAGTGGCTAGGCATAACACCGCTTAATCAAACTCTAAACGCTACTTTTTTCTGTGGGCGTTGTTGCTGCTCGCAACTTACGTCATCGCTTATATCAAAAACAGTTCTGCATTCCACTAAAGATTGCATTCCAGATAAATGTTGCAATGTAAGTTTTTCAGCCCACAATAGTTGCTAAGTTACTAGCACAGATATTGAATAATCAACTTGAACATGGTTTAGAGAAATTTCGGGAAGAGAGAGCAGAAGAAGAATAAAGAAGTAAGTGCAGAACTGGGCGTTGAGTATACTGATTTTGGGTGCGGTAGGCCCGCAATGTACGCAATGACGTCACACAATAATATAAGATTGGTAGGACTGAGTTTGGATAAGGGAGGAGTTAAGAGGTGGAGTGCGTAAGCATTTCCCATCTTCCTCCAAATTCCTCTTACCCTCCCCTGGCATAATACT